CCCACCCCCTATCCTAAAACCATGACCTATTTCTATCATAGTATTATCAACTTGGAGGCGACCGGTTCTCCCACCACGGAACCGGGAGCGAAAAGACAAATGCAAATCGACGCAAGTAGGTCGGAGGAAGAGGCCTCTCGGGGAGGGGGGAGGGGGAGGTGGGGTTAGAGGAGGGAAGGGGGTGTGGTTGTGGCGAAAGGGGAGAGGAATTGGGGAAGGTTGTAAAGTTCCCCGTAAAGTTCTCCTGAGTCGATATTCTCAGCACACATGTAACACTCACACACAGACATATCGATTGACCCTGAGCGTGACTAACTTGTGACGTCAGGGGGGTGAGTAGGTTTTCCGTAGCACTACAAGTAAGAGTCAGTTGGCACTGGTAGTGAGGTGTACTGCGTTACGTAAGAACCCACTACATGTACCACCTTGCTGTACACACCATGCCGGCCCTCCCACTTGCACCCCGCCTCATACTCTGGCACTGGTACAGAGTTAGTCTCTTTTTAAATAATGTTCTTCCGTCTTAAAAGAAAAGATTGGTCCAACCCTGAGCAAGGAACCCAAAAAAAATCTACAAGAACCAGGGGGAGCTCCGGCGAACAGCAGCCTTCGCACTAGAGACTGGGATGCCCATTTAAAGATAAAGGAGGAGATTTTCATTGGTATCTTTCATTTGTAATTTTATCCTCTTCAACGGCACCTTTCATCTACAATCTCACTCTCAATTTATTAACTCATTCATCTACAATGGTATCGACCCACTATGCCATGTATATCTACATGTCATTCATTTTGACGAATCTTTTTTACGAAATGCCAACCCGAAAACCAGCATTTGTTCAATACAAAGGTTACGCTCTTTAAGTAAAGAAATGGGTGTTTTTTATTTTTAAGCGTGAGTTTTTTATAGTAAGACTCTTCGTTGTTGTAGTATTTCCATTATGTCGGCTAGGATGCCATATTCCACTCTAAATCGGTTTGGCCCTAACATGGACAGACGAAGTAGACCCCCCCCCCCCCTTTCTTATGGTTCTCGTTTGCTTGGTTTGAGTAAAAAGAAGCACATCGACATAATAACTGTCATTTAGAGCTGGGATAAGGTAAGACAGACAGAAACAACAGTGGGAAAGTAAAGAAGTAGGAACTACCAGTGGCGTCCTCCAACCACCAACTCCTCATGACTCATGGTTTGTAATTTTATTTAGTCACAGGTAGGGGGAGCTAAGAATCTCATCTTTAGAACGTTCGTCTTGACCAGCCCTCCGTTGTTCCGCTCATCAACTGTGCGAGCAGCCATGTCATCGGCTGAACAAACATTCAAAAAACGAAAAAATGCCACCTTCCAACCACCCTGTGCTTTGCCTTGCTGCACATTATGCTTAGAATCTAATACTGGGAACGAACACTGTTACACTACACCCGTGTTCTCTTCCGACTACTATATTTTCCCCCGGGTTACCCTTAACCCCCCCCCTCCCCCAAC